CTCACTCCTAAAACCTCCAGGAAGGTTTGGTACCTCTTCCTTGCTGCCCGTTTATTGCTGAAATATTGCAAATGAATTACTGTTTCTTCATCCCAGCTGGGCATCATGGAGATGTTTGAGAGACAACCAAACATCTTGGGGGTTTGTTTTAGAACAACTGCAACCAATCCCAAAGTTGGAAGAAATTTTATAGTAAAGTCAGTATATCTTTCAGGCAAAATATGTAGTCATTCCGCTGGAAGAAGATGCCTCTGTTTTGATGAAATCCAGTCTGTAGCATTCTCATGGTATGGCCAGTAATCACATTAAGAAGAAATACACCAGTGCCTGGATGGTTTGGACTGGGCATAATCTAGTAATAATACAAATTAAATAGAAGGCATTTGTTAGTATCCATTTGTCATTAATCCACTCACATATTCCCTAGGCGTTTATTAGGCCCCACCTCACTCCAGGTACCATGCTAAGGGTTGGGAATACAGATGTACAAGGCTCAGCAATTTGGCGCAGAGAGATCCTACCCAGCATTTTATTGATTCTACCCAGCACTTTATTGAAGCAATCTAAAAGGAAACCTTGTTTCTGGCTTATATGTGGGGAAACTGAGGCATGGACAGGTGAACTAACATGCCAATGTTACCCTGTTACCAGGGGCAGATCAGGAGGGTGAATCCAGGGTTTCTGACTTCAAGGATCAGAACTCTTAACAATAGCTTGACCCCCAGCGTTTGCTTATGCTTTAAGGTAAAGGCGTCTCGTTCCCCTAAGACTTGGCTTTCTGAGCTTTCAGACAGGGGTGGCGATCTCTGCCTATCTCAGTGTCCTTCGAACATGCCTCGGGAACGCAGAAGCGTGGCGTTTCAGTTCCATGGCACAGGCCCGCAGAAATCAAAGACTAAGCAATGAGAAGTGACAGCGGCTGTGCCTGTCCACTTGCAGAGTCCCCTGGCCTCAGGCTCCTGGACCTGAGCTCATTTCTTCCAAAAGGAAAGGAAAAGTAAGCCTCTTTCAAATAAAAGCTCAGCCGTGGAAGACAGACTTGGCAATGCCTCGCCACTCACATCAAGACTCCTAGTCGGAGAGAGCAGATCCTAAACGGGTCACCACTCGAAGGGGACTGCATCTGAATGGAGGAGTCCCTTGTGTCAGGAGAGGATGGGCTGAGACAGAGGAACCAGACTGCCCAGTCCAGTCCCACTGTGAGCCGGTCGCAACTGGTGTCTCAACAACTTCCCTTTCGCCCTAACACCCAGTGTAAATTAAAAATGAAGAAAAATGAAGAGTTCAGCTTTCAAACTATATTTGGACAAAAAGTATGTGCATCAGAGATGCCCAGTTTCTTTCATTCATTCATTCATTCATTCATTCATTCGTTCATTCAGCCGATCCTTACTGAGAGTCTAATAGGTTTTCACAGCACCCCTCCCAATGGGATGTTTTATTAGCAGTGCTACCCGGCCGCTGCATGGAAGGCAGGTGGCAAGGTGATCATTTGACTCCAGGCTCTTCTCACTACAATGTGCTCGGCTCCCGGCATTAAGCAGTCAAGAAGCACCAAGTAAACGGATGTAATCACAACAGGAAGGCCGGTTTTGTTCCGCCGTCGCTGTCTTTGTTTCTCCTGGCCACACGTTTGTGTCCCATTCCTGCCATGTCCCTTCAGCGCGGCGCTGGAGCGGCGAGGGACAGGGAGCTCCCCAGATGAAGACTGGCGGTGTGGCTGAAGGGCCCCTGGGACTCCAGCAAGAGAAACCGATAGCAGAGTCCAAGGATGTTATTCAAAAGGGGACTCAGAGAAGCCTCGTCAGCAAAATCTTGAGGCAGAAACCAGGCATCTTTCCCCTCCCCTCTCTCTTTCTGCTCTTTAGCTCTATCTCCTATCTTCTCTTTAAACTCTGTCTCTACCAATCTATCTATATATCAACTATCTACCTATTTAGGTACCTGTTTACCTACCTATACCTACCTCTTTCCTCCATTCCCAGGTTCTGCTGACTCCAGACACACATATATTAATGTCTTAAACACAATCAGGAAGAAATTAGCTGTCATGAGAACTCAACTCTAGCCCCAATTCCTGACACTGAGGTCTTTGATGAGGGAATAAGTTAAGTCATCTTACAGAATAGATGTTCTAGGATCTTATTATAATCTCACTCTGCTGGTCTTCCTATTGGAAGAAGAGAAAGGTGTTACCCTGTGATCTTATCTGCAGGAGGCTGCTTCATTATTCTGTGGGTGTGACATGTAGGGGGAGACCTCTCTGTGAGGTGTCAAAGACCAGGCTTTGTGCTTCCAGCTCTGGGGACCCCTTACCTGCCATGGCTCTCAGGGTTCCATCGGATAAAATGGTTGAGGGGCTGGTGTTGTACCCGCCATCTCAGGAAATTTCTGTACAAACAACACCAGATAAGCATCATTATCTCCATTCCTTTTTGGGTGAGGTTCAGAGAAGTGAGGTTATTTTATTTCAGTCCTTATATATAGCAGAGTTAGGATCTGAAACTGGCTTCGCCTGATGCCAGAACCTATGCTCTTTGCAATTCCCCGTGTTGGATTTCTGATGAGTGAAGTCTACACTGATGGCTGGTCACCCTTGGATTGGGCCTGAGTTTTATTCTTCGTAAGTTGGCCACATTCACAGGGTTGCCGGAGCTCCGGAGAAGTGCTGAGAGTTATTCTTGCCCTGCATGAGCTGCCAGGCATGCTACTGGCCACTGGAGTCCTCAGCTGGCTCCGAGGCATCCTTAAATAATTGAATTATAATGAATCGATTTATTCTGGCTCTTTTGATAGTATTTCACTATGTAAACAAACAAAGGATTTGGGAGCTTGGAAGAGGCTCAACATTCTACAGACCCTGAATTCACCGGCTCCCTTTTCAGATAGTCAGCGTCCTAGAAACCCAAGCCTTGTTTCTGCTTGACCCAGGCTCTTTCTGTCTCAGGGAAGACTTCTTGAAAGTGTCTCAAGTGAGTACTGACTTCCGAAGCTGCTTCCATTCAGTCGCTTAGAAATAAATTCACCCCTTAGAAGATGAGGCCCATTATTTTAGAATGTGCAATGCTTACTTATGCCCATTTTCTATGAGAGTTCTCTGGCTGTCCTGAAAGGTGGCCCTGGCTGGGACAACTATTTCCGTGTTATAGACGGGAAATCAGAGCTGAGCAGGGGAGATAATTATGCAAAGTTATACAGCTAACATAAGGGACAGAAGTCAAATCCTGGTTTAAAATGGGGCTCCACTCCCTAATTCTGGCGTCGATAGGTAAAGGATGTCCTAGATCGAGCTGTGTCTTCATGGCAACCATCTATTTTGATTTGCCTGGGAAATTCGGCTTTTCCCACGGTACCTGCCTATTGCCTGGACATAGTTTTTATTGAGTCTCTGTCACTCTCCAAGTGTACTTTGTGGACGATAAATTGCATGGTCACCTGAGACACTGGATGGGGAGTAGATTGCGAAGGGCTCGCGGTCTTTAGGAGGAGGTCCAGCGTGTAGCCAGAGGCAGCTCTGTGTGATACTTGCTAAGGTGGGGATCTTTATAAAGTAGGAACCCATGCAGGAAGGGGAGTACTGAACTTCGCCTAGAACACTGAGAAACTAGCACAGAACACCTGACATTTGAGTGATTGAAATATAGGCAAGGTGATCTCTTTAGGATGGCTGCATGAACGATTTCTCCTTGTATTATTCTGTGTTGAATTTCCAAGAAGCATACGTAGTTTCCACCTACTCAGAAGACATCTTGCTGGCCCTGTGCTTCCATGATCTTTGTCCTTGTAGCTAGTGAGAACCCTCACAGCCATCTACACAGTTCAATTGTCCCAGGCAGAAACATTTGCTGCAATTTGAGTCACATGGGGCTTGGTTGACCTTATATAAATGCCTACAGTATCTAACAAGCCCTTGAAACCTAGAGCATGAGACTAGAAGGGCTCCTAGGGTCCCAGTGGTCTAACCCCCTTCTCTATAATAATGATAATCAGGCCCAGAGAGGAAAAGAGTCTTGTCTAAACTAACAGAGCCATTTAGTTACAGAGCTGGGACTGGAGCCAGCCTCTCTTGTATATAAATTCATTCTCACTGCAAAACTGAAATCCTCTCTGGAGTTGAATAAACCTCAGTTTGCGACTGCGGAGTTCTGTGGAATCAGAGAATGTACCCAGAACTTGGAAAGTGAAAGCCTGACTTTGAAACCAGGATCCTGCATTAACACACTGTGTGACCTCAGGCAGAGTATTGACGACACGTGAGATCTTGTTTTCCTAATCTGAAAGACTGAAATAATAATTAAAATAATAGTACCTTCCTCACCAGGTTGTGTGGGCTCACTTAGGGTAATGAAGGTAGAAGTGTTTGCGAGCTTACATGTGTGCATATGTAGTAAAAAACACGTAAGATCTACCCTCTCAACAAAATGTTAGGTGTACAGTACAGTATTATTAACTATGTAAGCACAGTGGTGCTCAGCAGATCCCTAGAACTTAATCACCTCGCATCACTGAAATTGTATACCCACTGAACAGTATTTCTCCATTTCCCTTTCCCCCAACCCCTGGCATCCACCATTCTACTTTCTTCTATAAATTTGACTACTTTATATATACAGGGTGTGTTCCAAAAAATGTAGACACACACTTTGACTAAAAAGTGTTTATTAAAATACATTTCATTTTCAAAATTGAGCTATCAGCTGTTAAAGTGTGTATACATTTTTTGAGGACACCTTGTATATCATATACATGGAATCACACAGTATATGTCCTTTCATGACTGGTTTATTTCACTTATTATGTCTTCCATGTTCATTCGTGCTGTCACATATGGCAGAATTTCCTCTTTTTTTTAAGGCTGAATGATAGTCCACTGTGATTATCAATGATGGGCTTAGCAGTGCTGATGATCCTGCTGGTCCAGTTCCCCAGCTGCTGCTCATAGCTGAGACCAAGGGACAAGTACCTATCTGTTCTCTCCCTTCTATGTCTGTCTCCTGCAGATGAACCCAGCCGGTGCTATTTCCATGACGGTGATGGGGTATGCGAGGAGTTTGAACAAAAAACCAGTATCAAGGACTGTGGTGTCTACACACCCCAGGGGTTCCTGGACCAGTGGGCCTCCAATGCTTCAGTTTCCCATCAAGATCAGCAATGCCCAGGTTGGGTCATCATAGGCCAGCCGGCGGCATCCCAGGTAAGACCCCAGCTGTGGGTGGCGCTTCCTGCAGATATTCTGAATCTCTGCTCTGCTCCTCAGAGCTTCCCACCTCAAAGGCAGTGTCCTTGGATGTGGCCACTTGACCATGTCTCTAGCCAAATGTCATTCCAGGGCCTCAGGAGTACCACTTCTCAGGGATTAGACACAGAGTACCTAAGCACAAGAAACCTCAGGGCAGTAGGGGTAATGACTGTCCTCTTCTGTCCCTCCCTGTTACAATGCATATTTGGGGAAAGAATTCCATTTTGGACGTACCAGTGGAATTCAGTGGGGCAGAACACATTCTTTTGGGGGAGTCCCACATTTTGTGGGGGGCAGCAAGTCGTGTGCTTCTTGAACATTCTCCTGTGAATTTGCTGTGTGGCCTTAGACCAGTCTCCCCACCTCTCTGGGCCCCATTTTCTCCCATCTTTAAATTAGAGAGTGGTTCAGCTTGATGATCTCCAAGGACTTTCCCAACTCTAAAAAGCTGTGACTCATTCCCTGGTCCCCTAACGCACTATTTACCTTCCAGGGTTCTTCCCCAAAGGACTTTCAGCTTAGTTGAGGGAGTAAGAGTGTTGGCGCCACCAGAGCTTATGTGATTCTAGGGATGGTGGTGCTGTCCCCAGAGCCCCCTTTCCAATTATGCTGCTGAGCAAGCACCTGGCTACTTCTGAGACTCCCATTTCCCAGAGACACGACTCCTGACCGCCTGGCCCCGTGGCCATCTCTGGGGCCAGCCTGCCTCCTGGCCTTGGAGACGAGTCATTATTCTTAGCCATTTCCTTCTCACACTGCTTCCCTGATTCAGGGTCGGGGGGATGGCGTGATCTTAGATGAAAGAGAGATGGAACCTTCTTCTGGGGCCCAGCAAAAAGTTAAGATGGGTACACTTCATGTGTAATGTTTATTTTATAGTGTTTATCTGATCACTTTTCAGGTGTCTCTTTGCTTATGCTTACACCCATTAGATTATTTATTCATTTGCATTCGTTTATGACTGCCCTGAGGAGAGTGTGTGGAGAGAAATGAGAAAGGAAGCACAGCGCTCCCTAATGCTTCTGCTGGACAGTGCCCGCCTGCCGGGTGGATGGATGGATG